CGATCCAATTCCAAGCCATTCCTCTGATCCCATATTTCTCTAACTTATCCATTAATAGTTCATGATTAATTGTATCAAATGCTTTTTTTAGGTCAATGAATATCCCCATCGTATATTTTTTCTCATCCATAGCACTTGTAATGTCCTCCATCAGGTCAGTAATGGCCAAGGATGTCGACCTGTTCGACCTAAAACCATATTGGCAGCACAAAAGTACCTCCGACAAAACTCCTTGGTCTTGATGGGCTTTCTTGATGCGTCCAAGGCATTTGATAGGGTTAATCACTTTAAGCTTTTGGATAAATTAAGCAAAAAGGGGTTCCTGATAGCATTGTAAGAATCTTGGCATACTTGTACTCTAATCAGAAGATGCAGGTTAAATGGGGTGGGACTATTTCAGCCTCGTTTGGTGTTTGTAATGGGGTGCGCCGGGGGGCGCTACTGTCACCAGCCCTGTTTAACTTATATATGGATGAGTTGTCTGAAGAATTGAATAAATGTAACACTGGATGTATGATAGGCCCTAATCTTGTAAATCATTTTATGTATGCTGATGATTTGGCCATACTTTCGCCCAGCAGTGCTGGTTTTCAGCAACTGCTGAATGTGTGCTCGGACTATGGATTGAAGTATGATGTGAAATATAATGCAGAAAAGAGTGTTGTACTGATCTGTCGGACTAAAGGGGACAAAGAACTTTGTTTCCCAGACTTTTGTTTGTCTGGACAAAGGTTGAGTGTCTGTAGAAAAACTAAATATTTAGGACATTTCATTACAGATCAGCTTTCTGATGATGAGGATATATAGCAACAGTGTCGCATTTTGTATGCTCAAGCTAATATGTTGGTTAGGAAATTTCATATGTGTTCTGCTAATGTTAAAGTTCATCTGTTCAGAACATACTGTACACCGTTGTATACTGCCCCATTGTGGTGTAAATATAAGGTAGCTACTTTACTGAAACTTAAAGTTTAGTGTAGTACGTTACCAATCCTCTCTGTGGAAACACTGGTATACAGTAAATGTCTTTTATGATTTTTATTTTTTTCTTCTTTTATATCCTTTCTTTCTTTTATTTCCTTTTTGTATGGACCTTGAGTCTGCTAATAAAGGATGATGATGATGATTAGAACACAGTTTAAAACATACGTAATAATGTAATTTTTATGACATTTCCCTCCTGATTAAACTTTTTAGAATCACTTTATTAACAACATAATTCTTAATCTTGTTCCTCCCAGGATCTTCATTGTTTAAACTCTCTCCTTTCAGGTTTTCATTAAAACAAGTCATATGTGGTTCACTCAGACTAGAATTAGGTAAGTCTCTTTTCAAACCCAATTGTCCGGTTCGTAGTGGTCTTGTTCTCCTTTTTCCTCATTTCGGATCTGTTGATACATATTCTTAGTTAGAGCAGTGTCTATTAGTACCACCATCAGTCCTCGCAGGCAGGGAATGCAGCAGCAGCCACACACAACCAGCAGGGCTGCAGCTACGGACAGAGAGATCAACCCAGAAGTGATCAGACCACTCCACTTTCTGAACCAGGATTCCAGGAGATTGGCGAAGGGGTTGTTGATGCCAGAGTTCACAGCCAGCTCCTCGTACAGGGCCGTCAGTCCTTCAAGGACCTTGGTGATCCTGCCATCTGGGGAAGTGTTGTTAGGTATAAAAGTACAACAAAACGTGCCAAACATTTTGCATACGCCTCCTTTCTCAGCTAACAACATATCTAGGGCCATCCTGTTTTGCCATGACATGAGGGAAGTTGGGCCCAGTTGTTCTGCAATGCCTCTAATTGCATCTCTGGTATGATTCACAAAACGTTATTGATTATAGTATAAGTAGTTAATCCAATCCGCATTCTTATTTACTGTGACCCACAAGGAAAGAAAAGATTCGAACCCTGCAGCTATTTGATTTCTAGCTTTAAACTCATCAGGTACTCCTCGGGGTACGCCAATTGCATCTAAGTACACTCTGTTGTCGAACGATCCTCTGGGCTCACCTGTAGATCTGGTTTCACAATGTAGCTGGGATAAGAGCTTCTCCCCCAGCTCCCTGTATTCTCCCAAGGAGAATATGTGAAAAGGCATCAGCAGCTGCACCAGGGCACAGCTGCCACGCCACACTGAGGGGAATCTGGGTCTCAACTGGCCGTCTCCACAGAGCCACCATATGTCTGCCCTCGAAACAGTTTGGTTCACAAACCAGGTGGCAGAATAGTCACCATTGTCAGCGGTGATGTCGATGGTCTCCATACACCAGGCAGGCGGCAGACGGTGGACATACTTGCCGGTACCAGAGCGTACAAAGCATGTGTAATTACCAGGATAAATGTTCAC